CGGCCATGACGCGGCCCAGGACCGTGACGCGGCAGCGGTGGCGGCGTGCGGAGGCGGAGTCCGCGAAAGAGGAGCCGCTGGTCCGCTCGTCGCTGCTGCAGGAGAAGGCGAACCAGTGCCCGCCGAGGAACACACCGTGCCTGCGAGGGGCTGAGCCAGGCCGGCGGCCTGCGGCCCATCAGGCAGACAAGCCGCTGCCCGCGCTGAAGCTGGCGCTGGAGCACATCGTGCGCTGCATCGACAAGCACGGCATCTGCGTGCGAATGAACTCCTGTGCACGGAGCCCGGGCGGCAGATCCGCCTTTCTGCTGGAGGAACTCCGCTTCACTGACACCCAGCGGCAGCTCGGCCTTTTTTTTTTTTTTTCTTTTTTTTTTTCAGATCGGCCTTTCTGCTGGACGAATACCGTGGCAAGGACACCCAGCGACAGATAGGCCTTTCTGCTTGAGGAACTGCGCTGCACTTACAACCAGCCGCAGATCGGCCTTTTCTTTTTTCTTTTTTCTTTTTCAGATCGGCCTTTCTGCTGGACAAATTCCTCTGCACAGACACCGGGCGGCTGGTCGATGTTTCTCTCTCATGGATATTTCTAACTCTTTATCCTTCTCCCTTCCTCTCTGTAGAAAATCAATAAAATATATTTTAAAAAGAAGGGGGCATTTCTCAAAGCTTGGAGAGATGATTTGTAGAGCCTTTAGAAGATTCGAATGCAGGCTCAGGGACGCTTGTTCCAAGGCGGCGTGATTGGCAGCTTCATTGTTCCCGTGCTGCCAGCAAGAAGGTAGCCAGGGTCTGTGGAGGGGTGTCCTTCCAGTTGGTCAGCGGGCCGAGGGCGGGGAGCTGGCCTGCCTGAGGCCAGGGGCGCCGGGCGCGTGGCGCAGTGACCGACCCTGCCCCTCCGTCTGGCCGCCACCCCTCCTGCTCTTCCGGCCGCCGCCGCCGCCGCCAAGGCCCCTGACAGCGGCGGGCCCGGCGGCTGAGCCGGAGCGAGCGAGACCGGCAGTG